CTTCCATCTCAGAGCCACAGATGAGCCCAAAGTCCAGCTTTGGAGAACAGTCCCTTTGTGAGCGACTCAGAGCCCGGGAAAAGAGAGAGAGTAATAGATCTGTCTGGACCTGAGCAAATGACAGCCTTCATTGCTAAGTCAAGAGCCCTTGTGCCAGGGCCAAGCAATGTTCCTAACTCTCCAAAGAGGACCCCAACTGTGTCAGGCCCACAGGACTCCTGAAACTGCAGCAGCTGCAATGCTCAGGGGAAGACAGACATTCAAGCAGACGACGCATGCCTCTGCAAATGCACGGACGGCCAACATGGCTGGGAAGCACATGGTGAGCACAGCTGCTGGCCTTCGTCCCCTCTGGAGGACTTCTGCCCAGCCTTCTACAGCGCAGGAGACAAAGGCCAGTGCCCAGTGCCCAGACCCTGCGGACTAGATTAACTCCATCTCTCAATGGACTTTTGCCTGAGACAAAGGCTATCTTACACAATTTATCATGAGGGCTGGTTGTAGTGGGGTGGGGCCCAGTGGCAGAACACCTGCCTGGCGTGCACAAGCTCGAGGCTCCATCCTTGTACTGTGTAGGTGGGAGAGGACATTTGTTCTAGACACTTCTATTCTATTCTCTGCCCTGCTAAAAACCAGCCCCTATCTTCTGCACAGAGTGACACAGACCCTGATGCACATGTCACTCACACAGGGATCCCTCCACAAGTGGGGGGGGGGGGGTTGATGTCAAGCTCCCGGTCTTGGATGAAACTATCTGCAGCTGAGGAGACCACAGACAGGTGACAGCAAGCTGGCCACAGGAACTGAACCGCCCTTGGGCCTGCCTTTCTTGCTGACAGCTGCCTAGCATGCAAGAGGGAAGTGAGGTGGCAAAGTATAGAAAAGAAGAAAAAAAAAATCCAAAAAGCAAACCGCAGTCTCAGTGAAAAGATAAGACGCCACAGAAACCCATTCAGGAACCACAGCCGCTTCTTAGAGGAAGACATTAGAAAGAAGAAGCCACAACACAAGGCTCAAAGAGAGCTGAAAGAAAACCCGACCAAAGCCTGATTCCCCGACTACCACTTTGTTCACCTTGGGCAAGGGAAGAGCGGAATAAGAGTTTTTATTTCAAAAAACTCAGACTGCAGAGCAGCTGGCAGCAGGCCCGAATGTGGCCTCCTACTACCAAGGGCACAGTGTGGGACCTCAATGGCCCCCCGGGCACTGGAGAGCCTTTTTCTCACAACAAGCACGGGTTCCAGGCTCCACGGCTGCTCCATAGGCCCAAATGCACACCGACTGTATCATCCACAACTACGGGGTGCAGCTAAGAGGGATACCGAGGAGAAGAATTCCATCTGCTTTTCACTATGGCCTCCTTCAGCTTCCATAAGAACCATGTGCTTCGCCAGGCCTCAAACATTTAGGCCAAAGCTGGCATTTCTGAGCAGACGGTCAGGCTGCCCTTCCTGCCCAGCAAGCAGACATTATCATCCTAAGACCAGATCCCACCTCAGTGAGCTTCGGTTCTCCCCGATGATGGATCACTAGTGACAGCTTACACGCAGACCCGCTGAGGCTGAAAAGCCCCCGGCAGTGGCCAGGATCTCCAGACAGACACGCTTACGAGCGCGCACAACCCCCATGAAGGCACAGGCGCACACGGGTCCCTGTAATATCGTAGCCCTGCCATGCACGCCCGAGGACACCTGTGCCAGACAGGCAGGCAGGGGCCAGGTTCCAGCGCCACATCTGGTCAGAGCAAATCGACATACTGTTGAATGTTATGTCACCCAGGAGCTGAGGTTGACAGGACAAAGGCCTTATCGCGTCTCCAGCCTGGGCTGTGACACGGAACACACAAAGGGGCTGCGCGCTGACGCCAGCCCCCGGGTCCTCTCCAGGCTGGCTAGTAAAGGACCCCAGCCGTGCTGTCCCATCGCGCGCGTGCGCTCACCTTGTGGCAGGCCGAGCAGGTGGGCAGCGCGCCGCTGGGTCCGGGCGCGCTCTTGCCACCACCGCCGCCGCCGCCGCCGCCGCTGCCACCACCGCCACCGCCGCCGCCGTTCAGGCTGCTCTGGATCTGCGTGAGCTCCTGGCGCAGCACCTGCTTCTGGTGAAAGCTGAAGGCCGGGTGGTTGGAGGCCATGGTGAAGAGCAGAAGGAACTCATCGCCCGTACGGCCCTCGTTGAGCTGCAGCCCGTAGTTGTGGATGATGGAGTCGGTGTGCGTGAGCGTGCGGTACAACACGCCCGCAGCCTCGCGCTGCTCCGAGCCCAGCAGCGCCAGCGACACCAGCAGCTTGCTGCGCACCACCTCGTCCGTCAGGTTGGTGAGGCTGCCCAGGTCCGCCGGGTTGTTGGCCTTAATCTCCGAGTCGCGCAGCGAATGGTAGTCCTTGCGTGCCAAGTCCTCCAGGCACGAGCCGAGGAAGCGCAACTCGAGCGGGATGCACAGGTCCAGCAGGCCGCACAGGAACTCCACGCGCTGCGGCGACGGCAGTTCGGAGAACCAGCGGTACACGCCGTCCCTCTGCAGCGGGCAACGCTTCTCCACCATGCTGCCGCCCGCGCCGCGCCCGCCGCCGGGCCCGGGAGCCGCGCGCGGG